TACCCTTCTCTCTCTGCTCAGGTATGAGAGCTACCCTAGTCTCAATACATTGTATAAAAGTACTATCGCCACTACGACAGCCACTGACAAAGTAAAGGTATGAACTTAATTAAGAGGCTGTGAAATCCCACGCCTTTGGGAGGCTGAGGTGAGTGGATTGCCTGAGCCCGCGGGTTCAAGATCCGCCTGGGCAGGCAAGACCTCATCTCTACAATAAATCAAAAAGTCAGCCGGGCGTGGTAGCGCATGCCTGTAATTCCGGCTACTTGGAAGGCTGAGGCAGAAGGATCGCCGGAGCCCAGCGGGTCGAGGCTGCGGTGGCCGGGAGCGGCCACTGCACTCCAGTCTGGGCGACAGAGTGAGACTCCAACTCAAAAAAAAAAAAAGAGGCTGTGAGGAAGCAAATACCAAAAGACTTAAGGAGGTTGTTGTGAAATTCAAATATAGTAGCTATATAATAGATTATTAAATGTGTTGATGTTTAAGTATAGTAAACAGTTAATCCAAGAATAGACATACACAGATACCAAAACAAAATTGTTCCCATGACAGTTCACGCCTATTACTCTCATTCTGCTATTAAGAAAAGCATCCGGCCGGGCATGATAGCTCACGCCTGTAATCCCAGCGCTTTGGGAGGCAGAGGCGAGAAGATTGCCTGAGCCCAAGGGTTAGAGACCAGCCTGGGCAACTTGGCAAGCCCTCGTCTCTACCATAAATCAAAAAATGAGCCAGGTGTGGTGGCACACATCTGTGGTTCCAGCTATTTGGTAGGCTGAGGCAGAAGGATTGCCTGAGCCCAGCAGGTCGAGGCAGCAGTGGCTGTGAGCGTGCTACTGCACTCTAGCCTGGGCGACAGAGTGAGACTCCTACTCAAAAAGAAAAGAAAAGAAAAGCATCCAAAACCAATTTGCTAAATTTTTGTTATTTTAAAACGATTCTTTCCTATGGTGTATTATTACTAAAAACAAGCCAAAGAATTATTACATTTTATAACTGAGAAAATAAAAAGATGCAGGGAGATCATGTAAAATTCAAAGTCTGGACTAGGAGTTAAACGAATAATAATCACTCGTGTCCAAACATTTCTTTTATTTTTTTTTTTTGAGTGGGAGTCTCGCTCTGTCGCCCAGACTGGAGTGCAGTGGCCGCTCCCGGCCACCACAGCCTTGACCTGCTGGGCTCTGGCGATCCTTCCACCTCAGTCTTCCAAGTAGCCGGAATTACAGGCATGCGCTACCAAGCCCAGTTGATTTTATTTTATTTTTTTTGGATTTATTGTAGAGATGAGGTCTCGCTGCCCAGGCGGGTCTCGAACCCGCGGGCTCAGACAATCCACTCACCTCAGCCTCCCAAAGGCACAGGGTTACAGGCTGAGCCACCGAGCCCGGCTTGTAAATTCTTTTCATGGGTCAGCCTCATCCAGTTCTCAGGACAATCCACTGAGTTGGAAACTATTATTATCCCAACTTTTTAAAAAAAGAAACTGCAGCACAGAGATATTAAGTCACACGGCTTATAGCATTCTCTTCCACGACCAGGGATAACTTTACATCTTTTTCCGACTCTTTTGTCTGCTACTCTATCTTATTTTGTCTCCTCTTATTTTGTGCTCCTCATCCACCCCCATTTCCATGAACTTGCCCTCCCACACTATCTTCATCTAGCCCAAATTCCTATCACCTCTGCTTCACTGTCCTTGCCATCGCTTAAACTGACTTTCTAGTGCTGAGCAAGTTATCGTTTTTGACCAACCAGCTCCTCCTCCCAATCACACTTGATCTTCTAGGGCAGAAACTTTGTGGTCATGTTTTTGCTTTTGCTTCTATTTCCTGAGCTGTTCTGTCTCCTTGTTGAAATCCAGTGCTTGCCCCTCCATGTCCTCCATGACCACATGCCCCATTCTTGCCACGGTTTCCCAGGCATCCCCCCAGTTCCAGGATCCCTCTCCCACACTTGATCTTCTAGTTGAGAATCTGCCATCACGTTCTAGTGTCCTACCACAGGAAGGCAAAATATTTCTCTGCCTGGCTCTCAAAAACAAGTCCTCCAAAATAGTACACCAATTCTGCTTATTCAATTTTATTGACCAGCACTTCCTCCAAATAATCTCCCACTTCTTTCCTCCCTTTTTCTTCCCTTTTTGCAATAACTACTTGACTGCTGAACTCCTTATCAACTTCTTCCTTGACTGTTAAAATAATCCCTCAACCATTACCCGTATGCCGTTGGTCCCTTCACTCATGTGTTTTATTCCAGTCATTCATTAACCCAACAAGACACTATATAAATGTCAGGGATATAAAAATGACTCGCGCACAGTTCAAATTTCTAGAAACTCACAGTCTAACAGGGAGGATACAGATGCATACCTATCTATATACACCAATGTATTTTAAATGCCACAGTAAGAGTAGGAACTGGCTGGGCATGGTGGCTCATGCCGGTCATCCTGGCACTTTGGGAGGCCAAGGTGAGAGGACTGCTTGAGCCCAGGAGTTTGAGACCAGCCCGGAGAACACAGCAAGACCTCGTCTCTACAAAAAAAAATAAAACAATTAGCCAGGCGTGGTGGCACATATCTGTAGTTCCAAACTACTCGGGAGGCGGAGGCAGAAGGATCACCTGAGCCCAGGAGGAGGTCGAGGCTACAGTGAGCCGTGATCATAAGAGAAGTAAAATCTGACCAGGCTGCTTGAGGACAAATAGAATTTCGAGGGGGTGCCTGTGGAGTACATTCCAGGGCATAGAGTGAAAAGCAAAAGCAGGAGTGGTGGGATTAAAGACTGTAGCCTAGTTGAAGAATTTTGGTTCAACTTGGCAAATGTGTATGGCATGCGAAGAGAGTATGAGAAAGGCAGGGGAGGAAACTGGAAGATAGGTGGAAATCATATTTTGAAACGTTTGACATAATCGGCGAAGATGTTTTTACTTAATCCCCAGGTAATGGAGAAGAGTCTTGGCACGTTTTTAAGCAAGGGAAGTAAAGGCTGGAGGAAGGAGAGAGCCTGGTGACATGGTAAGACTTATGCGTAAGAAAATTATACTGATGAATCACATAAAAAATAAACTGCAGTGACCCAGGCGACAGGACAAAGTTCTGAGCTACAGCAGTGGAGGTGAAAAGAGGAAGATATGGATCTCAAAAACAGTTTAGGCCAAGTCAACAGGGCTTGATGACCATTTACGTGTAGGGGCTGCGGGAGAAAGACAATCAAGTTTTACATTTATGCTACTGAGTAGGGTGGTGATGCCTTTGACCATAGAAAAAAGTAAAGAGGGAGAGGAAACACATTTGGCAGAGAACATTATTATGGTCTGTGACCCGCTAAAACGGGAATAGCCCTCAGATACCGGATCCAGCATATGGCTGGAAATCTCTAGGAGGGTGGGGCTTGAGTAGACCATGGAGGTCCTGGGAGAGGATGAGTTTACCATCACATCTAGCTCCCTTTATTCGGACTCTATTGTACACATCAGGTGACTTTCTGATATTGGCCTTTCAAGTTGGATTTGGTATTTTTTATTCACTTGGCCATTTTACTTCTGGCCCTAACTTGATAACCCTAAATTGTGGCTCATGGCCGGTTGTTTTCTGTATTTAGGAGTCTTGCAGACTCGAATGAGGGTTCATTGAACAGATAAAAAGATACCTGATTTTATAAATGTTAGTCTCACCCCACTCCCCAGGCCCTGCCTTCACAGCCAGCCAGCCCATCTTAAACATCATTTTAAAACTACAGGTATGAAAAATCATCAAAACTTAGGTTTGTTTGAAGTTTATCCATAGAGAATTGATTTCAAAGCATATTCATATTATAAATAATGATTAACCTACATAGCAAATTATACAAACACCTTAATAAAAGTCACCTGGGCAGAAAAAAATCTGCTACATAGAAATGACCTCTTAGCTACTTAGAACAAGATTAACAGGGCTTCCATCTAGAACCTTTATTATCCTTGAGCTGGTGATTGAAGTATGCAAGACAGTAATAAAACCACAGCTTAAAAATTTAACTGTCAGTAATTCACAGGGTCCTAAACATAGCTGCCTATTGGGTCAGGCAAATAAGGCAGAGGCATGAAGTGGGAGGCTCCCAGGACAGCAGGAACTGTTCAGTTGACACACAAGTTCATAGCATTTGTTTTTGGCATGGCAACACTGCAGAGTCAGGAGTTTGTTTATCATATATCATTTAGACTGACAATGTTGTGCTTGTGATAGGCCTTGCATTTTGCAGACTTGAAGACAGTTAATGCTATTTGTGGGCTAAAATACATGGAATGTCAAGAGGAAAAACACTCCCAACATGTTCTTCTGTTTGAGTTTAACAGAGGAGTAAAGACAGCAGAGGCAACTGGAAACGTGTGCCACATACAGGGAAAATGCCATGAGAGCAGCATGGCAAGAAAGTGTTTTGTCGTTTCAAAGAGGGTTATTTTTATCTGAGTGATTCTCCACATTCAGGAAGACCATCAGACTTAAGACTGTTTAAATGCTTTAATCCACGATGATCCATGTCACTCAACCTGAGAACTGGCAAATGTGATGAGCTGGGACCAACCATTGTGCAACATTTGCATTCCACGGGCAAGTGAAAAAGCACCACAATGGCTGCATCAACCCAATAGATTAGACAACGGAGGCGTGGAAGGGCCTGGAAGGGCCTACTTGTAGGAATGCTCACCAAATGTTACCAGATATTCCGTTTTTTTTCCAAAAGGCCAGAAATACAGACTTTATGTAAAATTTCCAGATTTTGAGAAATATCATGTAGACCTTTATTCCAATTTGTTCCAAATCAGTAAGGTTTTATTATATATCAATTTAATCGATATTAACGTTTAATAGCTATTAAAGCTGAAAATATCAATTAGGTTTTAAAATTTTAATATTTAACGTTAAATATAATTTTAGAAACCATTATCTTGCAATATATTTATATCTAAAGGACATCATAATTTCAATCTTGTTGCCAAACTTTCTCTAATAAATTAAAGATAAAAAGACAGTTTTCCTTTTCAACTTTAATAGAATGAAAAATGTGTTACAGAAAACTTTAGCTTTTTGTAACAGTTTGACAGAATTTGGTAAACCAATAAACAGTCACACAGCCAAAGAATATGCCATCCATACAAAATTAGTTTTCATAAATGTTACTTTTAAGTATTTGTCATCTTTCATAATTGTGCAACAGCCTCTACCTAGGTTTCGTCAACAGCTCTAGTTAAGTTCACCTTGACCCCATGGGTGACTTTGCTCTGTTCCCCACGAAGACCAGCTATGTAAATCTGGGGCCGGGGCACTCCAGTGCTGGCCTCCCTCATGGACTGGGTGCTAGCATTCTTTGAAGGGTACACCTGGGAATAATTTTCTCTTCTCAGGTTACTAAGGTCAGTCTGTACCGAGTGAGTAACTTTCTGACGCAGATTAGCCTAAATAGAAAGAGAATACAGAAATGAATGTTTCTCTAAAAAAATAAATAATATATTATCAGGTATTAGTAAATATAATCTGTCTATTTTTGTACTCAATTCACAAAGAATCCTATCACATAGCATTTTTCTAAAATTAGAACATTAGAAAATCTAGAAAAAAATAGAAAATTAAATATCCTTTACTGCGTAGCATAGAAAAATATATAAAATGTTGAAAATAGACCCAAAGAAAGAACATACAGATTCAAAGTTACAGTGAGCTCAATTATTTATTAATAGGATCTTCTAATTCCTTCATTATGATACTTTGGGATTCGTACAAATTGAATTTTTCCATAATACTTTTTTCTTTTTTTTTTTTTACATCAGGGTCTCACTCTGTCACCCAGGCTGGAGTACAGTGGTGCAAATATGGCTCACCAAAGCCTTGACCACAAAGGACTACAGGTGCATCTATTTTTTTTTTTAAGAGACCAAGTCTCACTATTCTCTCACCTCTACTTCCCAAAGTTCTGGGATTACAGGCATGAGCCACCACACCAGTCCCATACTTGTTTTTTGTTTGTAAGACAAAAAATTTAAGAGTTATACAGTGTATTTTTTAAATGAGCTTTACCCTAGATTTTTCATATAAAAAGCTCTGATGTTTTCCATTCAAATTTTACATTATTCTACATTTTTCATACTCCCTTTATGAGATTAAACAGATGACTCAAGCTGGGAGGGCAAGGAATAGCTTATAAAAGGGGAGCAAGTGTCGCTGTAGTTCAAGACCAAGAAAAAACACAGAAGTTTCACAGCATGTGAGTGCAGTAGGAAAGACCTGGGACTGGAGGAAATATTTCAGAGAGACAGCAGGTGATTGAGAACCCAAACTACCCCCCACTCCCAAGCTCATTGTCTATATTAATATGATTTCTATTCCATTGTCTTCATTAGCAATTTTACTACCCCAAAAGACTCTTGCCCAAGAAAATGACTTGATTGCTCACTCCAGAACTTCCTGAAAGATGCGTCAACTCTTCAGTAGCAAGCATCAACACATCGTTTAAGCCCTAAGAGCCTCTGCATCCTCAAAAACCTTCTCCTTGCTATTCTCACCAATGCTGGACTACGTTTTCTCAATCCTTACCCAATCCTATTCAAACCCCCATCCTATCCCCAACCCACCTCAGGCATGAAAGACCTGTCTTAACAAACCTCAAATTCTCAATAAATTCTGGTTTTACAGTTCCTCTTCTGGGACACTGCCAAAGCTCTGTTGAGATGGCGTCTCCCCTCATGGCTGTAAGCAATACACTCGGTTTTGTCTTATCAACAGGTTGGGTTGGTAACACTTGGGGAGCTGGCATTCAATGTAATGCAGTTCTAGGGCATAATTAGGGCTAAGGTGGGAATAAAAATTAAATGGAGACTGAGAAATGGGAAGTGGGGGTTCGGTTAGCATGAAGTTCAGCCCCTTTGAATACCTCATTCTCTTAACTTTTCCCGTCCATGCCTATGTTGGTAAGTTAAATTATCTATATACAATGAGATCTGTACAGAGTTTCTTGCTAACAAAAATAAAGATCATAATTTATAATTTGCCAGCTTTACATTGTAAGTGTGTCTTATAATTTTAAGCATGGCGATGCTCAGTGGCTCATGCCTGTAACCCCAGAGACCAAGGGGGGAGAACTGTTTGGGAGGAAACTCTCAAATCCCATCCGGTCATACTTCCCTCCTCTTCTTTGCCTATTGGTGTTTCAAGACCAAATTAAAATGTCACCCAAGTTAATTTGGTAGGCTTTTTGTTTTACTTCTGTTACACCACTTACCAAGAGGTATTGAAATACCTTATGTGCAACAGTATCATTTGCTAGACTATTAGCCTCTGAAGAACAAAGTAGTGATATAAATGTCACACGATCAATGTCTGATGAACTTAACTGAGTTTAATAGGTAACAGGAAAAAAATGGAAGTTGAACACTTCATGAAATATAGAAGAGTAACAGGTAGGAAGGAATGCTAACAGAACCATAGTCCAGAAGATGCTCCTATATGGGGATGCCGATCCTTCCCCGCCCAGGAAATTAGGAAACTAAAAATCTGCCCCCAGAGTGAGTGGTAAAGGAACTGAGGTGGTCAGTAGAAGCCTGTGTGGGACTGAGCGAGCATGTGCAGCCTCTCAAACTCAGAAACGTTCCTCCAGTCCCAGGTCTCTCCTCCGCTCACATGATCGAAGGCCTTCTGGGTTCCTCCTCGGTCTTGGCCGCCACTGCAGCAAGTCTCTCCTTTGAATAAGCTGCTCCTTGCTTCCCAGCCTGAATACTTAGTGACAGACCATATGTGACAATGGAACTCTGATTCACTCTGCATCAGCCAGTCTGGGAAGCCCAATCTTAACCTCTGCAGTTGCAGCAATCAGCCCAGAATGTTCAGGCCTTGACTAGTTTCTCTATTTTTTTGCCCCTTCTCCCCCAACTAAAGACCCACCAGAGAAAGCCAAAAACGCTCACCAAACCAACCACATATACTCAGTGATTACAGAAACAAAGAACAGAGTACCATATTTCTCACTCATAAGTGGACCTTGAACAATTATCGTAATACTCTAAGAAAGGGATTGGCAGTAGTGGGAAACTGCCAGGGGAGCGGGGCATACCTCATCAACAAGGGTACCTGCATAATGAACATTTGTATACCTAACACTGAATTGCACCCCCCATCTTTAAAATAAATTGTTAAAAAAGATGTCTTGCTTCTAGTGAGCTTGCCTCCAGTTTTCTCATGTCAACAACCTCAGTCAGAAGACACCTGAATCCTTCCCCCTTTTCTGACTATAAAACTTTCCCAGTCCAGCCGGCTTTGAATTTGCCAAACTCAAGTAAAAGCAGCAGACTCCCTTGCTATGGCAAGTTCTAAATAAATAGCCTCTGTTCTCATTTGGATGGTCTTTATTTCCACACTTGATTTCAGTTAAAGAAATGAACAAAATATACTAAAGAGGGCTACAGACATAAAATATTTTACGTAATTCACACTATAAATATTTGCTTTTTAAAATGATAATATACCATAAAAAGAAGTAAATGGGGAGAATTCCACTGAGTCAGATAGGGATGAGAGTTTCAAAGACAGGCTTTAAGGGTAGGCATAGATACTGTGATTCAGGTGACTGAGAGTCAGAAGGAGAGAATGTTCAGGGTCTGGAGAAAAATATGCTGATAATCAGAGGGCACAATATCTGTGCTCTAATAGAGAAGCCCACCCCCCCCAAAAATGGTATACTTTAAATGATTAGAGGAAGTCACGAGTGCTTTAAATACTAACACAAAGTTTTAAAACTGATAGATGAGAGAGAGAGAGAGAGAGAGAGAGAGAGAGAGAGAGAGAGAGAGCACAAGATTCACTGTTCTAATTACTGGTTACTAAAATTTGAGAGTAGTTTTCTTTTTCTTTTCTTTTCTTCTCCTTCCCTTCCTCCCTTCCTTCCCTCCTTCCTTTCTTTCTTTTTGACAGATGATTCTCACTCTGTCACCGAGGTTGGAGTGCAGTGGCATAATCTTGGCTCACTTCAGCCTAGACCTGGGCTCAGTTGATCCTCCAGCCTTAGTCTCCTGAGTAGGTGGGACTACAGGAACACACCACCACATCCAGCCAATTTTTTGTAGAGATGAGTTCTTACTATGTCATCCAGACTGGTTTCAAACTTCTGGTCTCAAGCAATTCTCCCACCTCGGCCTGCCAAAGTGCTAGGATTACAGGCACTATGCCTGGCAAGAGTAGTTTCATGCTACTATGTTTCTACATATGCACAAAATTATTTTTTGTTATTGTTTTATTTTTGAGACAGGGTCTTGCTGTGTTGCCCAGGCTGGAGTGCAGTAGCACGATCATAGCTCACATCAACCTTGAACTCCTAGGCTTAAGTGATGCTCCCTTCCAGTCTCCTGAGTAGCCAGGACTACAGGCACTTGACACCATACTTGAGTACTTAAAAAAAGAATTTATAGAGACAGGGTCTCACTATGTTTCCCAGGCTGGTCTAAAACTCCTGGCCTCAAGTGATCCTCCCACTTTGGCTCCCAAAGTGCTTAGCCATGAGCCACCATGCCTGGCCATGCCTACAATTAGAAGATAATTTTACAATGTAAAGCTGGAAAATTATGATCATTATTTTTGTTAGCAAAGAACTCTGTACAGAACTCATTTATATAAATAATTTAATTTACCAACTCTATGAGTAACAACATATTAAAATTCCCTAGCCTATAAATAATAATAACTTACCAAGAGGTACTGATATAGTTTTAACAGTGTCACTTAGTATTTAGAAAATATTGTTACAAACCAGTTTTATGGCTTTTCTTCTTAACTCCCATTCATTCCACTCATACGATCTCACACATGTTGGTGGCAATATGTGTGTATCCGTCTGTGTGCTACTCTCACACTTTGTAATTGGCTTTATATAATGTTTGTCAACATCTCTCATCTAAAGAAATGAAGTTTTGAAATTAGTGCCTGTAAAAATTAAATATTACTTACAGAATAACTAAAGTATTTAGCTAAAACTCACAAAAAACCAGAAAAACAAGATTTGGGGGGCATAGAATATACATACAAGTACCAGCAGAGAAAATAAGCACATCATTAGTGATTAAGTGTAATTCTTTTTGTGGACATTATGGTTTTATGCTTGATTTCGTTAACTTAACTGGTATTCTGAAAGGGAAAAACATTCATCAAGTCCAAGTCAAGTATCTCTCCCCACTTTGCACAACTGGTAGCATGAGTGAATACCACATTGGAAATGGATAGAAACTTAAAATATCTGCTAAATATTAGTCATAAATCACATCTATCTAAACTACCAAAATCTCTTTAGGACATATCTTGAGATCAAACTATGCAAACATAGCATATTTTTACCCAAGGCTTTTGTTTTGTTATTGAATATATTGGTTTTCTGCTAGGGAACCTAGTATTAAGTATGCAGCAATTCCAGGCTAAACAAGATATGATTGTGCTGCATGTGATGTTGTTGGAAAGAGTGACAGAGGTTTTGTTTTGTTTTTGAGTTGGAGTCTCACTCTGTCACCCCAGGTTGGAGTGCAGCGACACACTCACGGCCACCACAGCCTCGACCTGCTGGACTCAGGCAATCCTTCCGCCTCACCCTTCCAAGTAGCTGGAACTATAGGCATGCGCCACCATACCCAGCTAATTTTTTTTTTTATTTATTGTACAGATGAGGTCTTGCCAAGTTTCCCAGGTTGGTCTTGAAACCATGGGCTCAGGCAATCCTCTAACCTCAACCTCCCAAAGTGCTGGGATTATAGGTGTGAGCCACCACACCCAGACAATAATTTTTCAAGATAGTTTGCTCCTGTAATCATTCTTTCTAAATCATAATTTTGTATAAATCTAATTAAGCACAAAATTACAAATATTAAACTTAAGGTAGCAACATTTATAATACTCATCAAAGCATTATATGAATTATATGATAAATTATAATCTCCAGAGACTCTACAACTTAAATAAATTTGAGAACAGTTGACTTGGGAGATTTAATTTGGTGATAATTTGAAGAGTGAAACATACCAGTTGGGGCCACAATAGCTTTACGGATTTTCATAATAACTGGTCATAGGATAGCTCCAAAATAATATATACACATATAATAATATATGTATATATACACACACATGTGTTTATCACACCCACTTTTATTCAAAGGAAATATATATACACATTTATAAGAAAGAAAAGTACATTAAGAAATCACATAATACTATCCAAGATTCAATGCAATTCTGGTCATAATACCAATTACATTCTTTACAGGAATACAAAAAGCAAATCTAAAATTTATATGGAACCACAAAACACCCTAAATCCTGAGCAAAAAGAACAAAGCTGGAGGCATCACACTACCTGATTTCAAAATACACTACCAGGCTGAGCGCAGTGGCTCACGTCTATAATCCCAGAACTTTGGGAGGCCGAGGTAAGAGGATTGCCTGAGTCAATGGATTCAAGACAAGCCTGGCAACTTAGCAAGACCTCATCTCTACAATAAACAAAATTAGTCGGGCATGAAGGCAGTAGTTCCAGCTACTTGGAAGTCTAAGGCAAAAGGATTGCTGGAGCCCAGCAAGTTGAGGCTGCGGTGGCCGTGAGTGTGCTACTGCACTCCAGCCTGGGTGACAGAGTAAGACTCCAACTCAACAACAACAACAAAAAGATACTACAAAGCTATAATAACCAAAGCAGCATGGTAATAGCATAAATACACAAACATAGCCCAATAGAACAGACTAGAGAACCCAGAATTAAAATCACACATTTATAGTCAACTGATTTTTGACAGGAGTGCCAAAAGCACATAATAGGGAAAGAACAATTTATTCCATAAATGGTGCTGGAAATGGATATCCATATGCAGAAGAATGAAATTAGACCCCTATCTCTCATCATATGTAAAAATCAACTCAAAATGGATTAAGGACTTAAATGTAACCCCCAAAACTATGAAACCACTAGAAGCAAACATAAGAGAAATGCCTCAGGACATTGGTCTGGGCAAAGATCTTTTGGATAAGAACTCAAAAGCTTAAGCAATAAAAGCAAAATTAGACAAATGCCACCACATCAAATTAAAAAACTACTGTACAGCAAAAGAAGTAATCAACAAAGAGACAACTTACAAAATGAGAGAAAATACTTGTAAACTATTCATCCAACAAAGGATTAATATATAGAATATGTAAGAAACACAACAGCAAGGAAACAATCTGATTTTAAAATGAGCAAATGGGCTGAGTGTAGTGCTTTGGGATGCCAGGGCAGGAGGACCACTTGGGGCCAGGAGTTAGCAGCTGCACGGCACTATGATTGCGCCTGCGAATAGCCACCACACTCCAGCCTTGGAAACATAGGGAGATCCCATTTCTTAAAAAAAAGAGAGAGAGAGAGAGAGAGAGAGATTCTATCATAATGTAGACAATTAGACACCAGTATTAAATAAATTGTTTTACATTACAAAATAAAAAAATCTTTATGAGTATACTAGCAAACATAAATGACCTATAATCTAAAGAAGAAATCCTAAAGAGAATTAGAAAATATTTAGAACTTAGTTGGGCATGGTGGCTCATGCCTGTAATCCCAGCACTTTGGGAGAACAAAATGGGAGGATTGCTTGAGCCCACGAGTTTGAGACCAACATAATGAGACATAATAGTTTTTAAAAACTACTTAGAACTAAACAATGATGAAAATGACTATGTTTAAAAGTATGTGACATACTCAAGTAGTATAGTAAACTCAACTAGTATAGTAAGAAGGAAATTTATTACATTAAATAAAAGAGAGGCTAAAAATTAATGAGCTAAACATTTATCTTAAAAATCTAGAAACAAAAGGCTAAAATAAAGGAACTGTATGAAAGAAAATAATAAAGTTCAAAGCAGAAAATATAAAATGAAAGCAAGCAGAAAATAGGCTCAACAAAACTGAAGGTTGATTCTTTAAAAAGACTAAACAACTAGTCCTTTGGCAAGATCAATCAAAATAAAAAGAAACAAGGTTCAAAAACACATAATCTGGAATTTAAAAGAGAGCATAAGCTAATGTAGAGATTAAATAAATAATAAAAGAATATTGTGAAATATTTATGAGGAGCAAGTTAAAAACTTATATGATTTGAATAAATTCCTAGAAAAATACAACTTACTAAGTCTGATACAAAAAGAAATAGACTACCAGGAAAAAAATTCTATAATTATAAAAGTAGTTAAAATTAGTAGTTGACTGAGTAGTTACAATTTTTCTAACTAAAGAAAAAAAAAAAAAAAGAAGCCCAGGGAGCTATACAGGCTCTCTGTAAAATTATTTTACCCAATAATTCCAATTATACATAAATTCTTTCAGACAAAAGAAAATGTAATATGTTCACACTATAAAGTTATAAGACATGTATAGCTTTGACATAAAAACAACAAAGGACTGTAAAAGAAAGGAAATTCATAGGTCAAACTCACTCAAGAATATAGATGTAAAAATTCATTTTAAAAAAGTAAAAAAGCTGAATTCAAGAACATTTAAAAAACAAATAAATAAACAGGCTGGGTGTGGTGGCTCATGCCTGTAATCTCAGCCTTTAGGGAGGCTGAGCCCAGGAGTTTGAGACCAGCATAGGCACAACAGCAAGACCTCATCTCTACAAAAAATAAAATAATTAGCCAGATGTAACACAGCTGGAACAATATGCAGTAGAGGTGGCAGCAACAAGAGGAGAGATGTCATTTAGTGGCTTTGCCGTGGTCATTGACTGTTTGCTTGTCTCACAGTGAAGGAAGCTGCACATCGAATTTTGTTCATGTAAATCTTGAGTCGTGTTAAAATTGCACGTAGGCTTTAAAGTCGGGGTGGGTAAAGGGCTACGGATTCTGAGTATAAATACTGGAGTGAATTTGTGTTGTTTTGAGTGGGTTTTGTTGTTGTTTTTTTCAATTATGCTGAACCATCTCCCTATAACCTGGTTATAGGAATTAAACACTCCCTTTTCTCCTAGTCTCTGCCTCTTGTAGTTTAATTGGCCATAAGAGATAGTAGCCAATTTATTGGATCAAGCTGTAATAACACCTTTTGCTGAAAGCTCTGGTTTCCCTGTTGAAGTTTGCTAGGGATTACAGTGGGTTTGACTCATTTCAAAGCTTCTCTTAGTTTCCTGAAAATTTCATGAAGTCTTCACACCAAAGTGTACTCACACAGGAATTTCCAGGAAGAACAGACCTTCTTAATGCAATTTTCCCAAGTGGAACAGCATATTGTATGAAATGCATGAATTCTGCCTGTTGGTACTTGTATACTCTGGACTTCCCAGAGAGTTGGGAAAACAGATTAAACCCTGAACATTCTGATAGCCAATATGGACCAGCTTTACATGCAAGACAGTGTAACTGCAAAGGATGTCACTTATGAGAGCGGGACTAGTGACCTAAAGCCAGGTTCTGTCACTGTTGCCACAGTGTTCAATATTGGTGGGTATTTGATGAATTAAATGAAATCAAATGGAACTTATTAGACTTCTCACATCACTCCAGAACCAGAAGAAAAAGAATAACCTTAGGATAGAGAAGAATTTCTAAAACAATACTTTTTAAAAAGCACAATCAATTTCTAAGAGGAACAATTGATATGACTATATTAAAATTAAAGATGTATCTTCAATGAAAGTCTCCACTGACAACGTTAACAAAGAGGTGACATACTAGGAAAAGACATTCACAAGTTTTATAACTTATAAAGCATCAACATTTAGAACAGACAAGGAATTGCCAATCAACAAGTTAAAAATAGGAAGAATAGTGTAGAAAAAACTTGCAAAATTTATGAATAGTCAACGACAGAAGGGGAAATTTGAATGTATAAATAAGAAGAGATGATGAACTTTGCTATCATAAAAAAGCACAATAGAATAATCTTAAGATACCATTTTAAAATTCATCACACTGGCAAAAATTAAAGACCTAGGCGATAACAAATGCTGACAGGATTATGTGTACCTGCCATGCTTCATACTGCAGTTAAACTGCTATAATCATTTTGAGAGTAAATTTCAGTCAAGCCAAAAATTTTAGGCCCTCCTATCATTTGGCTCACATACAGAAGGACACTAAGTAGACAAGACCATCTCTCAGGAGGAATCTAGAAGGCTCTGCAAAATTGCTTCATTCAACAGGGGAGTTGGAGCATCCATCTCTTCAACCGACAGCACAATCTCAGAATAACAGCTCCAGCTGAGCTGTCCAGGGTCCTGACCGCCATATCTCCCCATTTCTCCCCATACACCTCAGACGACCTTAGCTTGTTTCTGATCTTTCTGCCCATAGGTACAGACCACCCTCTATGCTTCACTGACAACAGCCAGACCATCCTCTTTCCAATTACTGCTTGATCTCTCTGATACCAAAACCCACCTGCTTCATAGTTAGAACGTTGTCAAAAATAGCAAATAGGCATTTTAAACCATAGTCTTCAACATAGTCTTCAGTGAATTTAAAAGAGAGGAACTCAACTAGAGACAAGAGACAGACCAATTAAAGAGTGAACAACATAAACGAGAGACAGAGGAAGAACATAAGAATAGACAGCTTTGAAATGTGAGCTCAATGCAAGCAGAGATTTTTTTCTGTTTTGTTCACTCCTAAATCCCCCGTGCCAAAATAATTCCTGGTACAGTAAGTGGTTTACTAAATATTTGGTGAATGAATTAATAAACAAACACAGACATACAGGAAATACACCTTCCGATTCATTTTGTGGCCTTTCAGACAACTACAATTTGAACCTGTAAAACTAGTTTGTAACTCTGAGTAAATAAGTTATCATCTATGTTATGTGTGTTGAATTTCTCTATTTTACAGAAATACTGTAGTTTCAATTATTTAACTAAATGAAGTCTTTGTCTTTCAGATTTTTCCAGTCTGTTAATTTATCAATTGGATTCCATATCGTTATGAATTCCGTTTGTTTCTATATTCCGATGTGAATCCCTTTCAGACAATCTGTAAGGACCCTCATCTGACTGACTCTGCCTGGACTTGGGAGCCATTATACAACAAATAAAACTTTTTAATTAGCTACAATTTTTTTGAGTCAGAGTCTCACTCTGTCACACAGACTGGGGTGCAGTGGTATGCTCACGGCCACCACAGCCTCGACCTGCTGGCTCAAGCAATTCTTCCACCTTCCAAGTACCTGGAATCACAGCAGTGTCACCATGCCCAGCTAATTTTTTGGTTTATTGTAGAGATAAGTCTCACCATATTGCTCAGGCTGCTCTTGAACTCCTGAGCTCAGGCAATTCTCTCTCCTCGGCCTCCCAAAGTGCTGGGATTACAGGCTTGAACCACCCTGCTTGGTTAGCTACATTTGTAAATGTCATAAATTCTTAAAATATTAACCTAGTTTACCTGAGAATATGGAATGAGTGTTTCAAACTGTTGGTGAAGCTCCAGTAGCTGAATTAATTCTACATTTTTTTTGGCCTTTTCTTTAACTAAATCAATATAATTTTCAGGATTTTCAGCAAATGAATATGCAGCATCTTTAGTATTGAAAGTATAGTATTTTTCTTTGTATTTCAAAATTCCAATTGCTGGATTTCCTAAAAATTAAGAAAATATTAGATATGAAATATCTTTATCACTTATGAAATATTGAGTGATTCTCTGTTTGTAATGCACCCATGGAACCATTCCCTCTACACTCCACTTTTAACATATTACTTTATTACTTATGCTTTTATCTTTATAAATGTTATAATTAGCTATTTAAAATTATACATTTTATTAAATGATATTTTATATGAAATTCATATTATATGTCTTTTATTTTTATGTTAAGGTATGATTTTAAAGTGGATTTTATGTAAAAATATTTTCCACCATTCAGATATTAGAAGTTTTTAAATCTTGTATAAGAAACCACTTAGTCATCTGGCACATCTTTCAAATCTACTTAAACTAATTGCTATAAGCAAAAATAATTCTGTAAGAACTATAAAGATGAGACATCTTTTCCAATATGCAAATTTTCATGTTAGAAAATATTTTCCACCATAAAAAGATACTACATAGAGTACAGATGATTAAATATCCACATAGCTTGTGGAAATTATTTGTTTATTCAACAAATATTCATTGATCCCCCTGATATTAAGGATATAGGAAAAAGCAAAGTTCCTGCTCTCAACAAAGCACAAATATGTCATAGGCCACAGAGTGACCAGAGCTATGGTTCCAAAAAAGAGTAAAGCACATAGTAAAAGGAAGGAGGGTGAGATTTATATTTTAAATTGGATGATGAGAGAAGTCTGAAGATGATGAACCGGGCAAGTAGCTATGGGGAGGTGGTGGAGCTTTCCAACTACAGGAAATGGAAATGTGAGGACTCTGAGGTGAAAGTGGGCTTAGAATGTTCAAGAACAGCAAGAAACCAGTGCAGCTGGGGTAGAGAGAAGGAGGGAAAGCGTGGTCGGCAGTGGAGTCAGTGAAGTCATCTGAAAAAGGACCGTGACAGACTGGTAAACTCCAGTGTCACCTTGTGGGTTAAGCTCTGTAATCTTCAGGGAAGTTCTAGAGAATTCCTGAGGCGTTGCGGGCTGCTGCTTCCCAGAAAAGAATGTAGAAAGTAGAAATAATGCAGTAAACAGAAATAAAGTAGTCAGAACTGGCTTATTCAGAGAGGAATCTGGAACTCAGAGCCCCACAAAGCCCTTTTACTTTTCTATTTCTTCTTTCTTAGAACCACAGTTGGGGGAATAAGGAAAGGACCATACAGACTTCCTGGTTCTTCCTAACCCCCTTCTTCCTCCCCCCCTCCCCCTCTTTCCTCTTCCTCTTCCTCTCTTCTCCGTCTCCTTTTTTTTTTTGAGTTAGAGTCTCACTCTGTTTCCTAGGCTACAGTGCAGTGGCACACTCATGGCTACTACAGCCTAGACCTGCTGGACTCAGTTGATCCTTCCACCTCAGCCTTCCAAGTAGCTGGAACCCCAGGCACGCGCCACCACACCTGGCTAATTTTTTGATTTATTGTAGTGACAAGGTCTCACCTAGTAGGCTGGTCTCAAACCCCTGTGCTCAGGCCATCTTCTCGCCTCAGCCTCCCAAATTCTGGGATTACAGGCATGAGCTACCCATCCAGCCTCTGGTGTCTCCTTTTCATTTTCAAACTGAGGTCCACAGAAGGCATGAGATTTGCTGGTTACCTAGTTCACTAATGGTACAAGGCAGGTTTTCCTGAATGCTAGCCCGTGGCTTTTGCAACTACATCATACTACCTCTGATTGATCTCTCTCTCTCTCTCTCTCTCTCTCTCTCTCTCTCTGTCCCTCATGACTCCTTTCCCTTATTTGTGTGGAAGGAAGGAAGGAAAAGAAAAGAGAAAGAAAAGACACTACCTACATTCCATTGCTTTTGACTTCTGCATGGCTCTTGATTGTATTCTCCCCAGTACCAGTAATACTCTTGGGCCTCAGAATACTTTTATCTCAATTCCTCATTGTAAACCTTTTGTTACTCCCATTATGAAAAACATAATACCATAAAAGATGAGCCAACTTGTGTGTTCTCTCTAACCTGTATACACACTATCCCAATAATTATTTATAATGAAAAAGTAATACCCAATTGTGAGCTATAATCAAAGAAATTTAAAAAAGAAGAAAAATAAAGTTAATGGTACAAAGTAAATAAGAACCAATCTTGTCATACTGTTTACATTCTAGCCCTAGCAGACTTCTTGGTATTCCCAGTTCACATGGCACTTTTTGGAGAAGCACTTATTTCATCTCAATGCTGGATTTGTTATTTATTTTAGAGACACCATAATGATATGTACATCATAGAGAAATACTTGATAGAATATTGGCCACTTCCTTAGAGAGTTCCAACTTATAGAGAAATTCTGATCTATGCTAATGAAATGTAACTATAAAGTGACAAATAATTTTTGTAAATAAACACATCAAGGAAGTATTGCTCTTTCAGCAATTACTTTGGAATATGATATATTTTTAGTAATGTTGTGTAATGTTTCTGGAATCCTCCATTGGGCATATGAGTTATCCCCTTTCTATGGCACTGTGGTGTCCATATTTCATAATACATATACACATTCCATTGCTTATTGTTTACAATTTCTTACTTATGTTAGCCTGCCAGAGCACTTCCAAAATGAAGACTTTGTCTGAATCATCTTTGTAGTTCCTATTCTAGGCCACTGATTCGACAAGGTTTTTAAAAGTAAATATGAGGGGGACCCCCCAAAAACCTGGAATTTATTTATTTTAAAAAGTGTATTTATTCTTACACGTTTAAACTTCAGTCACCTTCAAAGTACTCTCTGTTTGATGCAATACACCTATCAAGATGCTTTTTCCACTGCTCACAAGTTTTTGAACTCATCAATTTTGATGCCTTTTGTTGCTTCTGGCATTTTTTGTTTCACCTCTTCCACATCAGCAAAACGTTTTCATTCCGGGAAACCACAACAAAAGTTGCACAGGCAAGATGGAATGAATAGGGAGGGTGGGACCTGGGGGTCATTGCCATCTTTGGTCAAAAACTGCTGAGCACTCATTGTGATGCGGACAGGTGCACTTGTTAATCACCCATCGCGATTTACAAGGAAACGCGTCAAAATAGTCTTCAAAAATACATTTACGGAAGCCAAACGCAGCCTCTTACAATAACACTAGCTGGGACACTGATGCCAATGGGCTCCTGACATCAATGCAGGGGGAGCCCGTGCTACAGGGGGGCCGCCCTCCAAAAGATAGTTCAGAGTGTTTTGGGGTACCCCTCGTATGCGAGTGGCAATACAAATAAAAAACTGGGGGAGGAGGAGCAGTGTTCTTTCCAACGATATACCTGGAAGGAGAAGGCCATCGGCTGTGGCAAATGTGTAAGCACAAAATCCCCGATACTGAATTAATAATTTCTCAAAATTTGCTGTTGTTTCTGGGAAAAGCCATTCCAGTTTTCTAAAGTCTGCCACACGGACTCGATCTTCTAAAATGAAAAAGGAGAAAAAGAAAAACGTTTATTCAGTGAGAAGGTTAAATTTCCTAAATAAGTCAGTCATGGTGCATTATCGACATTAATTTTTTATTACTTTGTACTTTTTCTGATGACAAAAACTTGATATTTACAAAACCTGATTGATGGGGAGGACTCTTCGAGTGAGGCAGTCCAAGAAAAACCTGCCTGAGACACTTCCGGAAGGGTCTGTGGTGCCTGCTGCTGCTGCATAGCAAATCACTCCTGGAGATGAGCAAAAGGACTGGCTGCCAGGTGACCCAAAGAGAGAGAGATGAACTCCATTCAAAATGGCAGTGCTCTTAATAATACACTAGGAGGTGAAATGTGTGGAGTATGATGCTTATAAACTAGGACAGTTGCTTCTTGAAATAGTAGAGAAGGCTCTAGCAGAGTCAAGGAAATGTCTCTTAGTAAGTGTAAAATGTTTGTCCTTTATACTTTAAAACATTTTTCCTAGTGTTTATTAGCTAACCTAACTACATTTGATGAAAAAACAATATGTTGTTTTTCTGAGTCCGGTTGTCACTCTGTCCCCCAGGATGGAGTATGGTGGCACAATCATGGCTCACTGCAGCCTGGATCTCCTGGGCTCAGGTGATTCTTTCACCTCAGTCTTCTGAGTAACTGAGACTACAGGTTTGCGCCCATGCCCAGCTAATTTTTTATTTTTTGTAGAGATGAGGTCTTGCTATTTTGCCCAGGCTAGTCTCAAACTCCTGGGCTCAAGCAATCCTGCTTCCTCAGCTTCCCAAAGTGCTGGAATTACAGGCATGAGCCACCACACCAGGCCAAACAATAACATTTTTTTTACACAAATAATATACCGCATATTTATATAATTTGGAGAAAATTATTCTTCTTCTTCCTCTTCCTCCTCCTCTTCCCTCTTCTTCCTCTTCTTCTTCTTCCTCTTCCTCTTCTTCCTCCTCTTCCTCTTCCTCCTCTTCCTCTCCTCCTCCTCCTTCTCCTTCCTTCTTCTCCTTCCTTCTTCTTTCTTCTTCTTCATCTTTTTTATCCTCATTCTGTTACCCACACTCATGGGGACTGCAGCCTTCACCTCCTGGGCTCAGGCAATCCTTCTGCCTCAGCCTTCTAAGTGACTGGAACTACAGGCACACATCACCATGCCAGGCTAATTTATTGATTGATTGATTGTAGAGACAAGTTCTCACCAACTTGCTCAAGTTGGTCTTGAACCCCAGGGCTCAGGCAATCAATCCTCCTGCCTCTGCCTCCTAAAGTGTTGGCATTACAGGTGTGAGCCCAGAAAATCTTTTCTCTTTTTTCCTGATATGCCCCAAAGCCTCCAATAATGATCAAACGTGGCATGTCTAAGTAAAATTCTTTTAGAAGAACACTGGCTCTTCCATTTTATGGAGCAACAAGTTGATAGGGTTCTAGTGAACCAAAAGTTCTAACATATGGTAGGAAATGACACATCTAAATCTAAGGAGTTGCAAGTAAACCATCCTAGAAATATGGTTGAGCTTAATATCCACTCTTGAAGTTACTACAACTTTTCAATTTCATTCAATATCTGCTTAGATATGCTGTTTTAATGAAATGAGTAATAAAAACTTGAACTGAAGAGATGCCTTTTAGTCTCTGATTTAGTTTTCAGTTTTTATGTATTCTAATAGTTTAAGAAGTTACTGCTATATATTCATTTTCCATTTTTACAAAAATAGCATATGAAAAGAAAATTCATAGAATAAATTACCTAATTTCATATTCTATAAAAACTATTTTTTTAAGGTAACAACCCAAATGCCAGACTCTATTTTTGGCATTTCTCATAAATTATAAGTTGTCTTTAGCTAAGATAGAAGAGACCAAAAAGTTTATTGATAAATCTTTTATTTTTCCTTTTCCTTTTTCTTTCTTTCTTTTTCTTTCTTTCTTTCTTTTTTTTTTGAGTTAAAGTCTCATTCTGACACCCAGGCTGGAGTGCAGTGGCATGCTTACAGCCACTGCAGCCTCAACCTGCTGGACTCAAGCGATCTTTCCACTCAGCCTCCCAAGTAGCTGGAACAACAGGTGTACGCTAACACGTCCAGCTAATTTTTTTTTTTTGACTTATTGTAGAGATGAGGTCTCGCCAAGTTGTCCAGGTTTGTCTCAAACATCTGTGCTCAGGTGAGGCAATCCTCTTGCCTTCGCCTCCCAAGTAGCTGGAACAACAGGTGTACGCTAACAGGTCCAGCTAATTTTTTTTTTTTGACTTATTGTAGAGATGAGGTCTCGCCAAGTTGTCCAGGTTTGTCTCAAACATCTGTGCTCAGGTCAGGCAATCCTCTTGCCTTCGCCTCCCAAAGTGCTGGGATTACAGGTGTGAGCCACCATGCACCAACATGGCTCACTGCACTCTGGCTCAGGCAGTCCTCCCACCTCACCATCCCGAATAGCTGGGACTACAGGTGTGCATTACCATGCCAGGTAATTTTTTGATTTTTGTAGAGATATAATCTTGCTATGTTGTCTAGACTGGTCTCAAACTCCTGTGCTCAAGCATTCATCCCACCTTAGCCTCCCAAAGTGCTGACAATACAAGCATGAGACAGCATACCTGGCCAATGCATCTCTCAAGGAACCTAAAATAAGCACGATTAATTTTACAGGAATAAAATTTATTGCTTTATAAGTTGTCAACTTGAATGTGAGGAAGATATATAGCAAATAACATTCTAAAGAAATGGAGCTTTATTTGCAACAAAAACAGCAAAGATTAATATTCCTTTCCATGACAAGTCAATAATCAAATTGCTAGCACTGCAATAAAAACACATATGTCCAAAAATCACTGTTGACCAAAATATTAACTATACCATTAGGAATGGTTATGCTAGATAGTAAGTTATTCAATTTACATATCTTCTGTTTTTCACTTTTCCTGTAATGAACATTAGTACTTTATAATCAAGAATATGTTTACTGCTTTATCAGAAAGAAATAACATGAAAATCTTAAGACAAAAGAGTGGGCCGGGTTCGGTGGCTCAGCCTGTAATCTCACCACTTTGGGAGGCTGAGGAAAGTGGATTGACTGAGCCTGAGGGTTCGAGACCAGCCTGGGGAACTTGGTGAGACCTCATCTCTACAATAAATAAAATATTAGCCGGGTGCGGTAGCGAGCGCCTGTAGTTCTGGCTACTTGGAAGGCTGAGGTGGAAGGATTGCCAGAGCCCAGCAGGTCAATGTTGGGGTGGCCACGAGCATGCTACTGCACTCCAGCCCAGGAGGCGGAGTGAGACTTCAACTCAAAAAAAAAACAGAGTGATTTTTATTCTAGAGGTAATTTTACAAAGAAGGCGAAATAATGGATGATTCCATTACCCATGTGTTCCTGCATTCTACACATATCAGTTTTCACAGTCACTCCATTAAGAAGATCTTGCATTACTTTCTCAGGAAAGAGTAGGTCATGAGTGCCCAGGAATGACTGGAGGTGAGAAGTTAAATTACTGAGGATGCTAATCACAATAGCTTCATCCTGCATGCTAGTCCACAGATTGGAAAGTTCAATGAAGGCAGGCTGGGGAAGAGAAAAAATGTTTAAAATGTAACTATACAACAAAATTGCAGGCCATTGTACTCATGACAATAAATACAATGGTCATTTGTACAGAAATTAATTCTTCAAGTGAAACCCTTATGAAGTTAGACAATAGACTCTAAATAGATATTTACTCACAGACTATGAGAAAATAAATTTGTATTTTATTTCAAAGCACTTTATTTTTGTATGATTATTATAAAGTTAATTTACTAAAACAAGTCAAACACACATGATCCCCAAAGAAAGATTTATGAACACCTCACCTCAGAAAGGCGAGAGGAAAATATCTTTAAAGAAAAAAATTTAAAAGCTGGATATGACTCATTATAGTCAATTTGTGTGACCCTGTTATGATTAAAATACCCTAGAAAGTATAGCAATACTCTTGGGGCATGTCTTGTAAGCTGCAAGTTAAAGATTTTAGGTCAATGAGATAAAATGTTTCTTATTTATATAAAAGGTCATTGACTTATAGTACAAAGAAAAAACCAAACAGTACCCACATATAAGTGAAACAACGTAGCCTTTTGCATCTGGGTTTTTTTTGTTTTTTTTTGAGTTGGAGTCTCACTCGGTCACCCAGACTGGAGCGCAGTGGCCACTCCCGGCCACCGCAGCCTCGACCTGCTGGGCTCCAGCAATCCTTCCACCTCGGCCTTCCGAGTAGCCGGAATTACAGGCATGCGCTACCACGCCCGGCTGATTTTTTGATTTATTGTAGAGATGAGGTCTCGCCAAGTTGCCCAGGCGGGTCTCGAACCCGCAGGCTCAGGCAATCCACTCACCTCGGCCTCCCAAAGGCGCGGGATTACGGGCTGAGCCAGCAATCCCGGTTTGCATCTGGGTTTTTAAAGCCAAACATTGAGAATGGTTGCAGAAAGTTATCAGAGCCTCAAATGCTCTATACAATACTGAATGTAAATTTTATACATCCTTGTCCAGATAAGAATTACCAGGTTTGTCCACAAAATGGTGCAGATAACCAGAAAGTTAATATAAGTGCAGGCTTGGCAAACAAAGTGATTATTATTTGTCTTTTCTGAAAGGTTACAAAAGTTACATAATCTCTGTGCTGGAGGCAATTTCTGACCAACTCCTATAAACTGTGATTTTCAACACAGTACTATTAATTATTTGTTGCCACGGGCAATACTGATATTATGGTTATGATACTATATGGTTGCATTTCTCACGGGCATTACTGATATTATGGTTATGATACTATATGGTTGCATTTCTTTTAGTAGCAATGGTTTATGTAGGAGAATTTTCTCATCAAACTTATAGCATACTATTACTACAAAATTACCATAAAGACCAGGACAAACTTGTACAAAACTAATGTTATATTTTTAGAAATTAAATACAATTATAATGACTTCTGATCTAAGTTTATAGGACTCAAAAGGAAATTCTCCCTTAACAAGGTCAAGTTGATGACATACTTACAAAGACTTGTGAGGTTGGGACAGCTGTCTTTGATCTTATGGTCATTTTTAATTGCTCCAGTTGGGCTCCTAACTGTTTTATCATCATTTCTGCTTCCTGGGCACAAGTAATTATATCTGACTGTGAAATGAACATGTTTTGTGTTAATATTGTGATATTTCACTCTCAAAATCTCATGTGTTTTAAGTCATACCTGCTCCCTGAGGAGCATATCCCTGAGGGTAAGACAGCAGGAACTCTGTTCTCTGTGGTATCCCCAGCACCTAGAAAAGTACTGCTGTATGTATGGTGCTCCAAAAATATTTGTGGATGGATAAATCTTCTCAAATACAATGGATATAACTTTTCTTAAATGTATACAGGTATTCTTAGATATTAAATCCACGTGCATTCCTGAGAAGAATCCTCAAGAATCCACTTTGTCAGCTATATAGTTCTTATTTTCCCATTCCTCAATGATAAAATTAGTGAGGTGTGAAAACTATCCTGATAACAAGACTTAATAAAATCACTTGGAGAAAAATCTGTTAGGAATGAGCCAGCTAAGCAGTGTAGGCTGGCAGGCTAGTGGGAAGCTGGCAGGCCTATGAAGAAGAAGACCTCACTTGTGATGTACGATCTATGGCTTTGGGGATGCCCAGAATCCTCACACTGAGTCAGTGGATATTTCTGAAGACTTTGTCATCGAGTTCACTGTTGAAGTGACTCACAAGGCAATGTCAATCGGAAGACAAGGTCAAGTATAAATTAATGATACTGTTTTTGTGTTTGGAAAGGACTCAAGAACCTTGCTAGGGTTAAAGACTTGCTTACTATAAATGCAGAACTGAAACAAACTAGAAATATTTGATGATCTTGACACCTTTTGTACTTTCTTAAACTTCATTATCTTCTGGGGAAACTACATGTGATAACCATATATTTTCTACAGTAAGGCTCTGATATCTAGCCATGTAAATGAAAGATGAAGAAACACAAAAGTTTCAGCTTAGATTTTAGAGTGATATTTGAGCCTTTAACTGCTTGCCTTTGTATGGCCATACTTGAACTACTTGTTGGGTTTCAATGATCACACATCAATTAAGTACCTTGCAAACTATGCAGTTCCTTCTGACTTTCGACTGTCTAAAGGATAAAAATAGTATTTATGTTTCAGGCATATCTGTGCCATTGTAAGCTATATTGTAGCTATTTAATACGTGAAATCTAAATGGCATCTTTGACTCTATGACAGCTGCTTCATGCATTCTGAAGTTTTTAAACAACAGTAGCCTGTATGTCTATTAAAGGTAGTGAACTGGTTTGTGTTGCCTCTAAGTAGATAATATAGGACAATAGAGTTTTTATAAGAATTTTTATCTACCTTAAAAGATAATTTTTCTTAATAGTCTTTTCTTCAGATATCCAAGAGGGATTTATTGATTTATTTATTTTGAGAAACTAAAAGTTTCATGTGAATGCTTCCCTGTTGGAAGGCTTTTCTGATTTAAAATACTATTTGTTAAGTTTTAGGAGAACTCATTTTTCCAGATCTGATTAAACTGTCTAAGAATAAGTGCTTTCAGCAGTAAGAACAACATTGTTTAAAAAGGTGATGGTAGAATAAACATTTGGGGTAGTGTTTTCTTAGCATATTTGTAAGTACTTGTTCATTATGGAAATGTGTACTTGACTAAAAACATATGTGGCTATAGAAACCATGTTTGTAATTCAGGATATATAATTCAGGTTGTGTGTGCATTTAGCTTATTGTATTAAATTATTATTGCACTTAGCTTAAAATAAGGATTAGAATTGCATTTAAACAAATCACTGAATGTTACTCTTTGTGAAAGTGAACTTTTTGTGTGCAGTTTAAAAGGATTACAAATCAATACTTGGGAACATTTTACTTTCTTAACCTATTGATATAAGGAATAGAGTATGAAAAATTAAACAAAAATAACATTAAGGAATGCAGGAAAATCTTAAAAATCACAACATTGAAAGAAAAACAATATATTTCTGATACTACAATGGCAGTCTGAAAATAAGTTGCTAAATGCTGAATTTAAAATAATTATAAACTTTTATTCTTACTATGTGCTAAACATATCAAATACTTTTAAGTGCAAAAAGGGGTAAGTATAAATAAGAAAATCAAGAGAGGTAGGTAAATTGGCTAAGTATTTGCAACTAATAGGCAGTAGAATAATGTTTCCGCCCCAAACCAGCTGAGCTCCAAGCCCAACTCTTAACCATGACACCACTGCACTGCTTAAGATGTGACCAGAACTAATAGTGGTGTGAGTGATTCTGTACAGCATAAAAGAATGACATTTATTTGAAGAGTAAAAAGTACATTTGAATTCTCAGGCATCTGTAGCCTAATTATATACTTCCAAGAGGTTTTTAAAATTTGTTTGTTTCAAGATAAGGTCTCACCCTGTCACCCCGGCTGGAGGGCAGTGGCATGATCATAGCTCACTGCAGAGCTGAATTCCTGGCCTGAAGCCATCCTCCTGCCTGGGCTTCCCAACTAACTGTAACTACAGGCATGCACCACCACCCCTGGCTATTTTTTGTTTTCAGTTTAGATTTTAGAGTGATATTTGATGAGATCTTGCAAAGTTGCCCAGGCTCTTCCTAGACTATTTTGAATGACAGAACAGTGACTTCATAATAAGCGTCAAGTATTACTACTGTATTTCAACTCACACATTTTTATTTACTTTATTATTTACATTTTACAAATGCAACCTGCATCCTGCTTGACTTGAGCCATCCGGCTGTTGAAGCACGCCCCCTCCGCTTGCTTCATCCTCCCATCCACTAGCCTCTGTCCTAACAGCCTCTTGCCTATCCCGCAGTTTTTTCTTTTCCCCTTGTTTGTAGTATGAGTACACAGCCTTTAAAGTCTTTTGAAATTTGTGCAACAGCAACAAGAAGCAGAAATAGATTCGCATATGTTTTCCAAAGTAAAAGTCGCATTTGACACGTAACACTTAGGAAAACCTAAAATTGAAGATATCCTAGGCTGCTATCCCAAACTGTGTCTGCAGGGTCCATTCACAGAGCAGGCACACAGAGCTTCTTAACTTTTTTTTAATAGTGTCCTAGAACAATCACTCTACATACATTTTGCTAAAAAATAATTTATGCACAACCATGTGGAGTTTTTAGTTATGATATCAGTCCTCTAGGAATGTTATCACTTAAATTGTTATCGTAGCAGTCAAAGGGTTGGGGAAAACATGTGATCCCTACATATTTCCTTGTCTCCTTCCCCCGCTCCCCTCACTTAAAAAAAATGATAAGTTCCTCATTCTTTCTTCCATGGACAATTTTCAACAAGTCTAGTCAAAGTCAAAGAAGCTGGGACTAGAATGGTGGTTCCAGGTCCTAGAGGGAAGAAGGAATGGTGAGTTGCTATTCAACAGCTGTAAGGTTTCAGTTATGTAAAATGTGCCTGCTGAGATCTGCTGTCCTACACAGGGTCTACAGTTAACAATACTGTATTATAGACTTAAAAATGTGTTAAGCAGGTAGATTTCAGATTTAATGTTCTTACTACAATAAAAATAAAATAAAATAAGGCAAGCACAAATTCTACCTGATTTTTTTTTTTTTTTACTTATCAGGAAAAATCCAGAAGCCCTGCATTGCCTTGTCTGTGAAAGGGCCTTGCAAACATAGCTTGGGGGCACTGCTGCTTTAAAAAGATTTCATAACCACCAATTTACCATATCTTCTAGTTCTTTGAGAATATTATTTACCTTGTTTATTAAATCTAAAAACACCAGATATAAAAATATTTTCTGTCAGCTGTTACAATAAGAAAAAGTTACACAAAAATTACTTGAGTGCAACTACCTGCCAAACAATGTTAGACACTTACTCTGAATTCAAACAACACAGTATTACTTATATACACACTACTGCTTAACTATAGCATGCTACAATCAGACTACCAAGTACTAAAGAGAATAAACAACTATAAAATCAATTTCTACCAAAAATATTTTCATTAAAATCATAACTCAACTTCCTCATTTCTATTTTAATTCCTGGTCCTACCAAGCCAATATATACTGAGCAGTTATCGAGGTTGCCTCCTTAATTAATGACTTGATTCTACCTGGTTGAGCCTTATAACATATAAAGAGATTGCACAATACACTCGAGGCCAGATCTTGGGAAGTTAACTCACCAAAATGATCTGAAGGAAGAGCTCATATTGCCGCATGTTATACAGTGCTTCTTTTAACATATATGGTTGAAGTTCAATACTCATGAGTGGGTTCTTTGCTGCTTTCTCAAGGATGGCTGTGTAGCGATATGCCTGTTTCTGGGCAGTCTCAAGTTGAGAATCGAGATGGTGAGTGGTGTCTGGGATTGCTTCACGTAAAAGAGTGGGCACTGTTTTTAAGAGTATGAAAAGTCAGGCATAAAAGAGTCTACAAAGGATGAAGGAGAAAGCCCAGAAAGTAGTCACATTTTAAGCATTAAGTTCATGGTTTTCTCAATCAAATTAATAATGAGGCATGTGTTTTATGGGTCCCATACCGTGAATAAAATAATCCTTAAAAACCTGTACAAAAAAAGATATTATCAGAATAATAACCAAAAGTTGGAGAGATCAGCTTTTGCCACTAAAATACAGAAGAGTTTAAAGAACAGGTAGACTTTGATAATATGTGTTGATGACCATGTGCCTCCAAAAAATCCACTGATCCCTCCTCTACAGATCTTCTTTTCTATTTGTATATATTTAAAAAAACACACACGTTGTAAAAAATTTATCTGATGCTGAAAAATAACAGAATAGTCTAGCAAGGGAGGGAAATTTATGAAAACGGGAATTTGACTTTTTAGAATAGTTTTGTGTGTTTGTTTTTGGAGTTGAGCATCTCTGTCGCCCAGGCTGGAGTGCAGTGGCACGTTCAGGCTCATCGTAGCCTCGACCTTCTGGGCTCAAGCAGTTTTCCCACCTCAGCCTCCTGAGTAGCTGGGACTACAGGTGAATATGACCATGCCCAGCTAATTTTTAAATTATTTGTAGAAATGAGGGCTTGCTATGTTGCCTAGGCTGGTCTTAAACTCCTGGGCTCAAAGCAATTCTCTGGCCTAGGCCTCCCAAAATGTTGGGATTAGAGGCATGAATCACCACAAGTGACCTAGAACAGTTTTTAAAATGGAAAAAATTACCCCATGGTACTAGATTAGTGATCTGGTGAAAGACACTAACACCTTATCAATGGGTTGGTCTTCAAGAGTGTCAAATTCTTAAGGAAGTTACTTTCAAACTCATAAAGAATGTACAAAGTATATAACAACAACAGAGTGGATGCGCCTGAATTTAGCTATTTGCAAATATTTCCGCTTGGACCTTTTCATGACATTAACTGCACCAGCAACTGTCTTCATTTCAGGGTGATTTTTATTTTTTAAATCACTGAATTTAACTCTCTTTTGGTTATCTAACTAGCCTCTGGGCAGCCCCCTCATTCCTTTCACTGATTTTCTTTCTCATTCTAGCTTCAAGGTACATAAAATTCAAAATCTTGCCCCAGCAAAAGTAAAAATTACCACATATTATATAAACAGCAGTTATTTATAAAGAATGTAAAAATTACACATTTTAGGTCTTAGAATGTCAGTAAAATGTTGTTTATTATTTTCCTCACTGTGTAAGTAAAATTTTAAATATTCATAGCCTTTAGAATTAACCTAATGATATACCTACAGTCATCAATGCCTTCTCCTCCTTTTCCACAGTCTTTGTTAAATAAACGAATTCCAGTAACAATCATAGTGAGTTCTTTCAGCTGGCGTTCTTTGTCCTTCTTAGAAAGAGTTAGAAATGTCCCCAGTTCAGCCTGAGGAAAAACACTCTGTAGGGCAGCTAAAAAAAACAAAACAAAAAAAACCCAGTAGCATTAAGATATTAGAACTTAAATTACAAGTTTTTTTCAGCAGGAAGTTAAGGACTTGTCTTTCTAGAGATATTTGTATTATTCTTTAAGTTGCTGATACCTGTTTATAGCATACATAGCGAAATTTATGATACATCAAAGCTGGACTACTGAAAATGATGCCATTGTCTCATGTCCGTTTTTAATAATTAAACATCCAGTCAGTGATTTTTTTGGCACTCGGTAATTAAACACTTTTTAAATTGGGGATCTGAGTAGAAAGACTGATGTTTTAAAACAATTATGGAGGAAAGACATAGGAAGACAGATCTTGCTCTGTTGCCTAGGCTGGAGAGCAGAGGCACGATCACAACGCAGGGCAGCCTCACACTCGTAGGCACAAACGATCCTCTCACTTCAGCCTCCCGTGTCGCTAGGACTACAGGCACAAGTTATTGCACTCGGCTGTTTTCATTTTTGCAGAGATGCAGTCTTGCCCAGGCTGGTCTTGAACTTCTGGCCTTAAACAATCCTCCCCAGTTGGTCTCCCAATCGCTGGAATTATACCCATGCTCCTCTGATGACGCGTAAAAGGTCCCTAGCTATGTGCAGCTCTAAGAAAATTAGCAATATTTCACTTCCTAGCGGTGCTACTTGAGTTTTAGAATTGATATGCAGTGTAAAGGGAGCCTGGGTAAATTTTAACCTCTTATTTGTGCTAATATTTTTTTTTTCAGATAAAAAGGGAATATAACACTTTAAACTTAACATATTTTTAAAAATACAGTGATCATGTGTTTTCACTTATGGAATGGAAATTGCTTCTGCTTTTTACCTGTTGTCTCTCTGACAATCTTGATGTCTGTGGGCGAGCCAAGCCCAGTGCCCAGTAACATGTAGCTGACGATCTTCCGGTAGAGGCTTTCCAGTTCTTCTCTAGCGCATGCTCTGTTATCTGTAATTTCTCTGCTAACAGAGCCTAATCTAGACTCTAGGACCCGGTGATGTTCTTCAAGAAATTCCACTGAAATTGGCAAATAACAGTGTTCCATATATTTGATATTCAGAATTCTTCTCACATAAGGACCAGAGAAAAACTAGCTTGAATATGACAATTCTGTTTCTTAAAATGTAATAATGAAATAAAAAACAGTGGCTAGCAAGACAAAAATACAGTGGGAAACATTACAGTGATTTAAATGAAATACTTTGTCAAAACACCTAAGACTTTGAACAGTCAATCTAAACAGTAAAATCAGAAAAGGCTAAAACCTCATAATTAAGTAGAAAGTAGAGATCATTTCTACAACATATATGTGTGTGTGTGTATGTATATATATATATATATAAACATATAGCATAAATATGCATGTACTATATGCAAACATATACAGTAGTATAAATATATGTACTGTGTATGTCCTTCTGCAATTATGTTTCTATTTTAGTTCTAGTTAAATTTCCTTCAAATAGCATTACTGATAATACAGTGTTACATCAAGAACTGTGTAACTCCTCATTCTTCCTGTGATCCTTAACTGTGGCAGGAGACTATCTTCACCGGAAGTACAATTCTTGCAACTGACTAAAGACACCTCTTGTTACTGAACAAGGGCAATGATTAATATATCAGTCATACATAGTTTATACCTAGAATCTTACCACAAAAGCAACTGAGAACTTTTTGCGAATTAAAAATATAAGTTTAATTTCATTAATTCCGTGACTATTTTATTGCTTTAAAGTTTTATTATTAAGCAAGATATATCATTTTACATATGTAGCATAACTGAAACTCAAATACATAGAGAGAAAAAAGACAATCACAATTTTTTTTTCTTTTTCTTTTTTTTTTTTTGAGTTGGAGTCTCACTCTGTTCCCAGACTGGAGTGCAGTGGCATGCCCCTGGCCACTGCAGCCTTGACCTGCTGGACTCTGGAGATCCTTCTGCCTCAGCCTTCCAGGTAGCTGGAATTACCAGCGCGCTACCATGCCCAGCTAATTTTTTTTTATTTATTGTAGAGATGAGGTCTCACCAAGTTGCCCGGGCGGGTCTCGAACCCCCGGGTTCAGGCAATCTCCTCACCTCGGCCTCCCAAAGCGCTGGGATTACAGGCTGAGCCACCAAGCCCGGCCACAACTGTTAATAATGATTACACTGTAGCAGGGGCAGAGGCAATCTACATGAAGAAATTTATTTTCCCTTTTCTCTTGCTTCCAACTTGACTTTGATGTATTTTTACATAATAAAACATTCTAAACTTAAATTTCCCATTATTAATTTAATTTTTAGGTAGTTACATAACTTAGATTTATGAGATGATAAAATGACCTAGGAACAAGAAAGTCTGCAAACTGAAAACTTAATTTCAAGGGGCTCGTTTTAATGGCCAATTATTACATATTTCTGCCATAAAGGTTATAACATAATAGACTTGGAAATGATCACTCTTAAGAGCATAACAATTTGAATTGACTTTTGACACTCACAAAGGTCATTTGTGTTTATCATTAAGCATTTCTAACATTATTATATTTTTCAAAGTTGGAAAACATTTCAAAAGATTGACAAAACATTACATTGATAAATTCACTAAATGATTAAATTCATCATCAACCAAATGAAGGCCTTCTTACCTGAAACATGATATGCAATATTTTTAAAAAGTATTATAATAGATAGACATGTGTTACCTCGATTTGTATAATTCATATCAAAGTAGATTTGCATCTTAATTGTGTCCAGGGATGGATTTTTATTATCCAATAGCCGAGTCATACAAAGCTAGAAAAGAATAGCTCATAAATATCTGTAGTTACATTTTCTGAAACAATCAAGTATTTTCTAAAGTTAATTTAAAAATAAATGGGAAAGCAGTGGTTCCTGATATTTATCCACCAACAATTCCTTTTATATTTCTTTCTCCTTGAGGACTGCAGGCTTTATAATTTATTTAACCAATAACATTTTCTTTTTTTTTTTCATTTTATAGATTTAGGGGGGACACATGTTACATGACTATATTGCATAGTAGTGAAGTCTTGACTTTTAGTGTAACCATCGCCTGAATAGTGTATATTATAGTCATTAAGTAATTTCTCATCCTTCACCCTTCTCCCACTATCCTACCCTTCCAAATCTCCAATGTCTATTATTCCATTCTCTCTGTCCTTGTGTACACATTATGTAGCTCCCATTTCTAAGTGAGATCATGTGGTATTTGACCTCCAGTTACACCCATGTTGCTGCAAAATACATGATTCCATTCTTTTTTATGGCTGAGTAATACTCCATTGCAGTGTGTGTGTGTGATGCAACACATTTTCTTTACCCAATCATGTGTTGACAAATGCTTAGAATGGTTACATATATTTATTATTGCAAATAGTGCTTCGATAAATATATAAGTCTAGGTATCTTCTTTATATAATGATTTCTTTTCTTTCAGGTAGGTACCCAATAGTGGGATTGCTGGATCAAATGGTAATTTTTTTTTTTTTTTTTTCAGTCATTTGAAATCTTCATACTGTTTTCCTTGATTCCACTAATTTATATTCCCATCAACAGGGTATAAGCATTCCCTTTTCTCTGCATCCTGGCAAACTTCTGTTTTTTGTTGACTTTTAATAATAGCCATTCTGACTAGTGTAAGATGGCATCTCATTGCCATAAGAAAGAACCCAGAAATAAAGCCACATATCTTGAGCCAACTGATCTTTGACAAAGTCCACAAAAACATACACTGAAGAAAGTCACCCTATTCAATAAATAGTGCTGGGAAAATTGGATTGCCATGTGCAAAAGAAAGAAACTAGACTCACTATATACAAAAATTAACTCCCGATACATCAAAGATTTAAAAGTAAGACCTGAAACTATAAAATACCAGAAGAAAACCTAGGGAAAAGCTTCTGAACATTAACCTAGGCAGAGAATTCATGACTGAGACTTCAAAATCAAAAATAGACAAATGGAATTTAATTAAACTAGAAAGCTTCTGCACAGCGAAAGAAATCATCAACAGAGTGAAAAGACAACCTATAAAATGGAAAAAATTATTTGTAAGATATGCATCAGAGAGAGAAATAATATCTGGAATCTACAAAGAACTAAAACAACAACAACAACACAAAATAGCACCATTAAAATGTGGGCAGAGGACATGAACAGACTTTTTGAAAAGAAGACATACAAATGGTCAAGAAGCATATGAAAAAAATGCTCAGTATCACTAATCATCAGACAAATGCAAACTGAGTACCACTTAACTTTACAGTATGCAACAAACCATCAATAATGTTCTCAGTATAGGAGATTAACAACCAGATATCACTAAAATTTTGTGGTAAATGCCGCTAGCTGCCCAGTATTCACGCCCTTCTTTCCTTCCTTCCTTCCTAATAGAGCCTCAATTTGTAAGGGGGCAAAGAAGGGGGAAAAAAAACAATGTCCCAAGGTCACTCTCAATATCATTCTGGTCAATAAATGTAAATAGATGGGAAGGACTCTGGAAAAACTATTATATTCCAGATAGAAAATGCTGGAATCAATTGGCACACATATTTTGCCCCTTGTCCTTCCCCCTTCTTTCTGCCTAGTGCTAGAGTGGCAATCTTGTGACCATGGGGAGAAAGCTATAGATTGCAAGGATGGTGGCCCAGGAAGACAGGAAGAACAGCCTGTATGTCTCCAGACTTTGTTTTACGAGAAAAAATAAAAGCTTCTTTGGTTTGTGCCACTATTTTGTGGACTTTTGTTTGATGCAGCTAAAGGCAATAATGGCTAATATAAATACTGTACTGAGATCTGAGAATAAATATGTGATTGCAAATTTGAGGACTGCTGGATAATCACCTTAACAAGTTTCTGCACATCACTTTTCATGAGGGTTCGATCCACGTTAAAGCCATTACTTGGATCCAGGACAACCGCTTTCACCTGAGAGCGGGAAAAGGGTCCATTAAGTAATTTTATTGCATATTATTATAAAACTAATATAGTATGTTTCCATTTTTACAACTACCTCTTGATTACTCAGGGGTTGATTTTCAGTTATTTTTCTTATCATCAAACTCATTAGCTCCTTTGTTGGAGGCTGAAGAAAGGAAGCAATAAACATCAAACTTGAACATGGTGTTAGAGAAGTTATATGGGGAAATAAGTTAAAAGCAATAGCTAGATTTTAGACTAGGAAACTATGGTTCATTTTACTGTGTTTTTATTGTGTGTTGTTAACCCAAAGAAAGAACACAGAAACCACAGCAATGAGTACTTTTTTAACAACAGTCAACAAAAATACATGTTTAAAAAATTCCTGGCTGGGCATGATGGCTCAAGCCTGTAATCCCAGCACTTTGGGAGGCTGAAGTGAGGGGATTGCCTGAGCCCACGAGTTCGAGAACAGTGTAGACAACTTGGCTCATCTCTACAATAAATCAAAAAATTAGGCATGGTAGTGTGAGCCTGTAGTTCCGGCTACTTGAAAGGCTGAGGTGGAAGGATTGCCAGAGCCTAGCAGGTGGATGCTGGGGTGGTGGTGAGCGTGCCACTACACTCCAACCCGGGAAACAGAGACTCCCACTCCAAAAAAAAAAAAAAAAAAATCCTATACAGGAGAACAGTATTGACGTTTCTAAAACTCATCAAGATTTTCCAAATCCGTCTGTATAAGTCTAGAACTGACATGATCTATAAATCTTTAAACAATATTTTCATTAACTTGTCCAATGATCTCAATAAGTTTTTAACTGAAAAACATCTAGGAAATCTTAACTGAATTTTAAGGGGAAAATGAACACCACATTTAAAAAAACCTTTAATAAAGCAATTGTTGGGAGCCAACATCTATAGCTACATGGCTGAGGCCTGTAAAGGCCCATCTGGAAGATCGCCTCTGACATAGGATATCAGTTATACCTATAATATTGGCGTGTGATTAGTGACCAGTGTGCATACATGGCAATAAAACTTATAAGTAAATATAAATATGCCTGATGGAAAGTGCATAGCAGAATTAATTTTCTCTGTCCTTCTAAGTTGTACTTCTTTCTAGATATTTTTTACTTCTATTTCCTGGTAGACTGGTTAGTCAGCTCTTGATCCCAAAGGCAGTTTCTCCTAGGATTAAGATTAGAAACTAAATTATCATAATAGTTTTGTCGCCCTGCCCCTAGCCAGGCAGAACGTTTTCTTTTGTTTCGTTAATTACCGAAACTCTGTCTGCTTCAGCCCATGGACGCCATGCATTTCCTTGTTCAAGAGTGTGACAGCTACTATTTGATTTTTAGAGTAGACTTGTTAGGATAAAATATATACAAATACACTTATAGTTGCGCAAATTTATGCTTGCTGTTTTGTTTGCTTTTGCTACATTATTCAAATATAATAATTACTATACGATTTATAAAAGAATTAATGATGAGGTATTAGCTTAATAGGATATAGCATAGTATTAAAGTCCAATCACTAGATTATATAAAAATTAAAGTTTAGACAAATGAAACTCATATGAATTATAGTAAAGTTTGGTAGTTTAAGAATAAGTTTTAACTGAGTTATAAGGCATTACGTTAAATCATAATAGGTTAATAGTATAACTGACAGTTAAGTCATTTAACTAAACTTATAGATTATAGTATAGTGTTAAGTTGATAATATTAATCGTTAAAAATATTAGGAGTCAGTGAACTTGGATTGAACCTAGAGTTAACTTAGAAAAGTTTTTTGTATTAATCAGGGTTTAGAACAAAGAGTATAATATGAATGATTCATTGAACATTATGGAAAACACTTTGAACGATTTGTATTGAAATTGTGCACCTGTGACCTTAATGTAAGCACGGCAGGCATCATGGAATTTGAATTGTTTGCTTGGAAATTGCAGATCTCCTGGTGGTCTTGTGATGCATAGTTTGTAAAGCACGGAACTTGTACGCCCCCAGTAAGTGATTATCACACTGCTGGAGGGTATAGAAAATGGTATATAAGTTGGAAGGAGTCCGAATAAAATTTGGCTTCAGTCCTGATCAGACTGTTCCCAGAAGAGCTGCCTCCGAGTGGTCTTCTCGCCATCTCCCGATTCTCTGGTGCGGGTCCTAACCCACCCTTGGTCAGTGCTGGTCACCGACAAGCAATAATTAGCAAAAATATTCATTCTTACCATAAAAGCAATTAGAGTTTCAGAAACCATCTCTCCATGGGCTGCACATTCTTGTTTAATTTCTTGTATGATATTCTTTATAACACTTTCAGCCTGAGTAGGAGGCATTCTGGCTAAAAAAACAATGTTTTTAAAAAAATTATTTTATAAAAATTTGTACTTTAAAAAAATTTTCCCACTATTGTATTTGTAAAGAGTCATAAAATTATCTATTAGCTTTTTTTTTTTTGGTCTTTAATCATTAGTATCTAGACCCCTTCTATTTTTCATTAGTTTTTTTAATTTTTAAAAATGAAGGACGGGCCAGGCATAGTGGCTCACGCCTGTAATCCTAACACTCTGGGAGGCCAAGATGGGAGAAGTGCTTGAGTCCACGAGTTGGAGACCAGCCTAAGCCACATAGTCTCTACAGACAAACAAAAACACCTCACACACACACACAACAATAACAACAACAAATCCCACAGAGTAATTGGAACTTCAAATAGTTGAAATATTTCCTTTTACTTAAATTATGATGGTCACCCAGAGTATATTTATATCATGATTGTTTTAAATTTAAAAAAAAAAGCTAACCAGTGGGGGGGGGCAGGTGGAGAAGGTAGAATTAATGAGAAATCCAAACCCCAAGGCATGAGACTACAGCTTGAAAGAGGAAATGCTTGTTCCACCACATTCACTAAATGACCTTTCATAACTGTAAGATAACATTGGAAAACGATTATTGCTCAGATCATCTAAATGATCTCTTCTGCAGATCCAAGATGGAGTTTAGACTTGATAAAAACATAAAAGCAAACCATTAAAACATATTAGAAGAGTTATGCACGATGGAAAAAAATGAGCTCCTGGTTATTAATTCCATTTCCTATAAACCAGGAGCCTTTTAACCTAGTTCCTGATTTTCCTAGGCATTAGTAACTGAGCACAGGGGAACCTGGCAAGCGGGGTACAACAAAGGCAACACCAGGTAAAGTTAGCTCTCAGCATATTAGTGTTCGGGTGGATGGGTACGGGAGCATCTGACATTTTGTTCAGTAAAACCAGACTATCTGGATTCCATCGTGACCCGCCGGCTATGGTCTAGCTGAGACCTTGGCCACCTGCTTCTCCTCTTTTACGAGGCAGTTCCCTCACCTGAAAAATAGGGTCACTATTACTACTTCTTCTTAGAGTTATTGTTAAGACGAAATGCGCTCTATATATTTAGTGACAGTTAGAGCCGGGCGCGGTGGCTCATGCCTATAATCCCAGCATTTTGGAAGGTCGAGGAGGAAAGATTGCTTGAGCTCCGGAGTTCGAGACCAGCCTGGGCAACAAAGCGAAAGCCCCGTCTCTACAAAAAAGAAAAAGAAAAGAAGAAAAAAGAAAAATTAGCTAGGTGCGGTGGCACGCACCTGTCGTGCCAGCTACTCAGGAGGCTGAGGCGGAAGGATAGCCTGAGCCCAGGAGTTCGAGGCTACGGTGAGCCGGCATCGCGCCACTGCTCTCCAGCCTGGGCGAAAGAGTAAAACCTGTCTTTAAAAGAACAACAAAAAAGTGCGTGCAGCCGGGCTCGGTGGCTCAGCCTGTAATCCCGAGCCTTTGGGAGGCCGAGGTGAGTGGATGGCCTGAGCCC